CACCTCACTACTGTTGTACTATTCTCATACATGTCCTGCACCAAACTAACATACTTCTCTGCCACTCCTGACTTCCTCATACAAAACCACAATTCCTCCCTTGGCACTTTGTCATATGCCTTTTCTAAATCTACAAATACACAATGTAGCTCCTTCTGACCTTCTCTGTACTACTCCATCAACATCCTCAAGGCATGTTGAGGATGCCTTCCTACCTGTCTCCCTAATCACTGCAGCTGCAGTCTCCCAATCATCTGGGAATTCCTCAACACGGAACCCAGAACTGCCCTTCCTTCCTTCCTGAAGTCTTCACAACAACAGTCTTCCTTAGTTTCCACCACTTGTTCTTCTGCTCTGTCTTCACTCTCTTCCTTTTTGTCACCTCCATCGTCATTTTGCACACTACCATCCGATGTTGTTTGGCTACACTCTCACCTGCCACCACCTTACAGTCTCTAATCTCCCTCAGATTACCTCTTCTACATAGAATATAATCTATCTGTGTGGACCTGCCTCCACTCTTGTACGTCACCCTGAGTTCCTCTTTCTTTTGGAAATAGGTGTTTACCACAGCCATTTCCATTCTCTTTGCAAAATCTACCACTGCCTGTTCTTCCAAGTTTCTCTCCCTAACGCCAAACCTGCCCATCACTTCCTCATCTCCTCTGTTCCCTTCCCCTACATGACCATTTAAGTCTGCTCCAATCACCAATTTCTCTCCCCTGGGGATGCTCTCTATCACCCAAACCAGCTCCTTCCAGAACTTCTACTTTTGTTCCAATTCACAGCCCACTTATGGGGCATAACCACTGACAACACTTACTTTACTTAACGTTTTTTACGACTTATCAGGAAATATTCGCATTGTAGCATTGTTAACCTAGACGAGATTGTACACAACATTCTATTAGCTAAAACAATGCGTACTGTACTATTGGCTAATTGAGCATCTCTTTTGTTCCTCACTGATTGGCTCATGCATCAAAGCATCTCTCAGCATCTCCCCTTGTCTGTCGGCCACTCGACACAGAGTGATTACACAACTCTACTGTGTGAGAAACAGTCTAGGCAGAGTTGATAACAGTGTGGGGGAGGTTTGTAAAGGGTAAATATATACGTAACTAATATAATAACTATCTTGTCCCTACTTCACGATTTTTCACATTCCGTGGTGGGTCTTAATACACAACTACCGGGATAGGAGAGGGACCACTGTAGTACGATTTTGCTGTTTTAGAAAAGTAAACCTCAGAATAGATGGTTTTCCGATAATCGTTATTACCCATGACTCATTGCGCCGTCGGCCATGTTGTGTGGCAAAAGACACGAATAGGTAGACATAAAATATCAATAATGACAACAGAAGACAAGAATATTAAATCGCCGGAAGGAGATCAGACGAAATTGTTGTATAGAGATTGACTAGACACAATTACAAATGCAATCCACTTGGACAAGTTAAAAATAATATATTCTCTGTCAACTTCCCACGGTGACTTTAAGTCAAAAAACTTTCATTCCCAGATCGGTTGGTACAACCCCACACAACACAGGTATTTACCATTATTGGTGTTCTTTTGTGTATTTAATATCTATCTATACACTCTGTTGCCACACAAGATGGCAGACTACGGAACTACTGTATGGGTAGTAGTGTGATGTCATCGGAAAAAAAAACTTTTTTTAAAACATTTTATAGATAGATGTTTAAAAAAAAAGTTCTGTTAGGCAACTGGACATGAATTTTCTAAAAGAAGACATGTCACCTCTAATCCAAGAGGCTTCTTCAGTTCTAACTGGTGGTGGGGAGTACAGCAAATATATACTCTCGGTGTGAAAGAATAAAGCTAATACAGCTCCACCTTGTTGGGTGGGGCCATGGGGTCAACTGTGAAAGTGTAAACAGTCGTTAAGAGTCTGATGGGTCGTTGTGGTCCCCATCAGAACGGTTTCAGTCACCTGCCTCTTTGTTGTGTAAAACTGAGGTGAAACTTTTGGGTATTGTTCCTAAAAGTGCTTTGTATGTTGGTGATAGGTTGTGTCTGAGTCCACCTCCTCTGTTGAGTGATGGTTTTTCCAGGATGACAAAAATGGCCTCTTTTACCCCTCTCTCAAACCAGAGGCTATTTCTGTTTTAAACCTGAAACAATCTCCTGCTAATAACTCAAATTTTATAGTTTGACACAAATATTTTCCTGGATTCTTTCAAAGCTGATAACAGAAATGTGGACAAGCTTAGATTCTGTTTTACCATAACCACACTGTTTTAGACCAATTTCTGGCAAATCTTTTGTACGTGTACCAACTTTTTTCAGTGATATATTAACCACTAAAAACTTATTTGCATTGAGCAAAAATAAAAAAATTAAAATTAAAAAGTAATTATTCTCCTGTACTGGCATTAGGACTGAACTGAAGTTGGATTACTTTTAATTAAAAAACAATACTACAATATATTGTTTTAATATATCATTGTATTGTCTTTTATTAGTCAGATGACTGCCAAATACGTTTTTTTATAAATGTATAAATATTTCTCTAATAAATGTATTTGTTTCTCGTCACTTTTTTTCCAGGGCCGCCAGTGTTCCCAAACCTGCTGTGGCACCAAAGGTACTGTAATCCAGCACATCACTGGGGAAATGTATTATCACATACAATTGAATATATGTACATATATGTTTAATTGTCACATGGAACATCAGGTGTACATGTTGAATAATTGAATCATATAAAGCTAATTGTTCACCTGTAGTTCCATGTTGCAGTGTCTGTAATCTTTACACTTCTGAAATGGCTTCCTGCATGAATTTGACCTCATTTATTTTACATTTTCTAATTACATATTTATGTTTGCCTTTTGTTATACTGACGCATCCCTATTTGATGAAATACTACAATTTGAAACATTTCATATATACAGTTAATTGAATCATTATTTAAAAAAGGTAATGCACAAGAAAATCTTTTTTTTTATTTGTTTTTGTAAAATTTCACCTATGGGGATCGTCAGTATGTCATGTGATTTATTTTGTTTTGTGGTGTGCTGTGTTTGCATGCTCCTCTGCTGTGGGGGTAGGACGACAGATCAGACATCATAAAACCAGTGGCCTTAGCTCACCCTCCACCACCCAATCATCACCCTCACCCCTGTGGCACCTCCTCCACCTCCTCCACTAAACCCCCCAGACCGTATGGGGGCTGTGGTACAAAGAGCGAGCTACGCCCATCGCAGTGGCCATCTGCTGCCTTCATCCCATCCCCATCCTCAGCCTTCACCCCTGCATCCCCCCACACCAGTTTTCCCCCTCCTCCCCCACCACCTCCCTCTTACCCATCATCTTCATCCTCTTCCTCCTCCTCGCCTCCTCTCCTTGTTCCGCCTCAGTCCTCTGTGTATAACACGCCAATCAACCTTTACTCCACTGAGAATGCCTGCAAGGTGGCCATGGGGCAGAAGCGGGGGCTTTTGGAGAGTCAGGGTGAATACTTGCCCTTACAGTTAAATAGGTGAGTGGCAGCTGATTGTATCAAAAGCGCTGTTGCTCCCTAGTTGTTGTTTATCATGATAGTTGGTTTTAGATGGGCTGTTATCAACACAGGCATAGCTATAAAGTCCTAGTCTCTGTGTGTGCGTGTGTGTGCATGTATGTGTGTGTGTTAATTAAATGTGACATGAAATAAATAAAACATTTTTGCCCACGTTGAAACCATAATTATGTTATGTACTAAATCACAGGAGTTATACACAAAGTACATTTGGTACAATCCACAAAAATGCGGTGGGGGTAAGATAATACTGCATTACAGGGTAGGTGGTAGGTGAAGCTTCTAGAATATGAACTCATTCAAGTTCAAATTTAGATTTTGTCTCTTTGCCATTTTATCATGCAATCAACTTTTAAAGTTGGATTTTTGTATTTGACTTTAGCATTGGTGCAGATCAGAGGTAAACAAGAGTTCATTAGCATAGCGATTGCAGCAGTCGTGTTTGTTGAAAGAAGAAAGAACTGTATATAGGAGGAAAAGTCAACTGTTTTACTGAACCTTTTTTTTTATTTGTGTGTTGTCTTTATTAACTTCAAGTCAAATGATGGTGTTTAATGTCCACTCTCCCTCCATCACATTCAATCCAAACTATTTCCCAACATGTTTTAGTTTCTTACTTACACATGGACATGTACACAACCCACTTTCACCTTCCTGTGCTTTTCTCACAACCCATACTCATTTACCCCAGAGGCATAGTGAGTATAACTATGCTATAATGTTATAACTAAACTGTGTGTATGTGTGTGTGTGTATACATATATATAGCCTGCTTCAGTAACTGGAGATGCATGCCTTTCTGTTTGCTCTTTTACAAAATCTATGTAAGTAGGAGATTCTGCTTTTAATCTGTATAAATTTACAAACTTTCATCATTTTTCTGAGTCTGAAAAATGTCTGAAAGTCTGAGTCTTCCTAACTACAGGACCTGGTTAGATCAATTTCAAAGTAGGATATTAAGTGAACTGAACATGCCGAGTTGGGTTTTTTTTTTGCACCCAACTTCCATCATTCTTTTTTGTGAAACTCTCCATAAAAGTGTCACTGGTGGGTTTTTTTGCAGCTCTCAGCAGCAATATAATCTTACTGTATAGCTCTCAGTCCTGTACACACGCACAGACTCTAGATCCCAAAGCCACTTGGGTACATGTCCTTCTCCAAGTTTAACACTCGCCATTTGATATCACATCAAGCTCTCAAACCCTGATCTTTTTTAATGTAACCTTCTATGACATTCATCGAGTTAAGGATTGATAACAGTGATAACGTTACTTTTTAACTCTTTCACTGCATGTATCTTCACATGTATGTTTGCATGATTTAAACTTGACTGTGTGGTCCATTTCAGAAGTGGTATTCTTTTTCAAAAGCAACATTTCAGCAGACATGCTACAGTATCTTTCTCTGTCCTTCATCTTTCAATCTTTCTTTTTCCAATCTTGCAGATGGGAGGACCTCCTCCAGTGACAAAGTTAGTCTCTTCAGCATGACAAACTGTTTTAACTCTCACTAACATTCTAGATCAGCGTTGTCAAACTCATTTTGGTTCAGGGGCCACATACAGCCTAATATTCATCATACCAAAATTACCTATAAATACTAATAAGTCCATTATTTTTCCCCCTTTATTCATGCAAATAAGTGCAAAAACATTCATCAAACGGGCCATTTTGAAGCCAGTTGTGGCCCGTAAGCTGTAAGTTTGACGCCCCGATCTAGATCTATGCATATTACTCTGCCTTACTTTTTGCCTGAATGGGTAATATACTGATAACAAATTTTATTGATTAAATGATTCAAATTTTGTATGTGTGTGTGTTTAGTTATCTTTCATCACATATCTCAAAATATTGTTCACACATTTATTACAATTTTTTAATTTACTTAGACGCGCACCATTAAACCTTTGTTGTTTTTTTTCCTATTAGCTAATTTGACAATGAACCAATTTGTTGAGGTGACAGAGAAGTTTGGCCTCAGCTGTAAATCACTTTTGATTCTGCCAATACATGCACTGCAAGTACAATATACAGTATTGAGAGACAGTTAAAACATAACTGTGTGTGGTGTGTGACCAGGCATCCATGTAGCTGTCAACACCACTACACCACAGATGCTGCTCTTGTGACACAAAAGTGTTGACAGACACCCATAAATCTCTACATTCAATGTGCTATGTGAATGTGTAGGTGTGTATGTCTGTTTGTCCGTGTGTGTGTTGGAGATTTATTGACAGAGGTGCGAGATAATACATTTGTAAACGTGTATGCATTTGTACCAGGGGTGAGTTATTCACAGCAAATTAGCATCATGTCTGTCAGCAGCCTGTTGCCAGGAAGGATTGTGGTCATACAGTCACCCTAACACCAAGCACTCATTGTAACTGTGATGCAGGATCATCACAAACAAAGTTGTGTTTTGTTTGTTTGTTTTGTTGTTGTTGTTTTTCTACACTGCAAAAATAGACACTTTCAGTATACTAAAACTTCCCAAGACGCCAGTACTACCGATTGCTAAAATGAGTCTGCAGCACCACTATGTGGTAGAGAAGAGCTATGGCTTCCTGTAGTACGTTATCGTCAAACTTAATATTCGGCATTATTTTAAATTAACATAAAGATCACGGACAGAAAGAAAATAGTCGAAATAAAAGTATTTGGAGAGCTAATTTAACAACAAAGTACAGCACACCGAGGAGACAGAAAACGGGCTATTGCATATCAAAACAAAACAATATTGATTGATAGTCAAAAATACGGTTTATCGCCATTGGTGAGGACGATCGGTCAGTGAAAATATCACAGTATACGTATACGTAATTGTATAGTTGTATGTACATTATCAGTTATGGTGATGGTTACGTATTTTCCTTCCATTTCATTTTTGTTTGTTTGTTTTAATATTATCAATTTTATATTTTATTATTGTTTTTATCTTTAAACTTACTCATACTCTCCTTGGTCTTGATGGCACAAAAAGATGTTAAAACTACCCCAAATTTTTAAAGTATATAAAGAAATTGTATCGTCATCTACTTCTAAAGTCAGCCAGATAAAACATTAAGTAGTATCCACACAAACTTCAGTATGCTCACTTTTTATTTAACAGCCAGAAAAAAAATCTTCATGGTTCATAGTTGTTCATAGACATAATGAACTTTAAAATTAAGATGTGTGGACTTTTGACATTAAAATGTAATGGCGTTTCAATTACAACATATTCTCATATTCCACACATCAATCTAATTTATTTTGTTTGTTGTTTACACACAGGTGTACATTAACATTACCTTAATCTACACAGTTTCGCCTTTCAGGGAAATCTCAGTCTCTTAAATGTTTATCATGGATTCATTATTCACATTAGAGTGTGAGTGATTTTCTTGGGATTCTTATTTTCTGCCCGAGTATGTGTCAAAATTAAATTATGCTCACGGACATGCTAAGGTCTTTTCAATGTTGCCTGCAGCTCTTGTCTGTTTTGTAGCTTAGATGTGCTGCTTTGAAATCTGTGATTTTTTTTCATTGTGTTCTTTATTTTTATTTCTCCCATTCACATTTTACTCAATGTTAATTCATTGGGTAATTTCTTCACCTTGTCTTTACTGTTCAATCAACTAATAAAAATAAACTAAGTGCAGTAATTTTAAAGTATCCTTGCAACACTTATGAAAATTGCTCTTGTTTTTCTTTATCCTCTGTCAATGGTTTGCAAGAAAACCTCAACTTCCAAGGTATTGAGACTGGTGTTGATCCTGGGGAAGTCATTTAACACTGTGGAAACAAATGGTTTCATGAAGTTGGGTCTAATAAGCATGACATTTACCCTCAAACATAACATTTCAGTTTAGTGTCCCACCTCTTGTTCTGATAACAACTTCATGAATTAAACATTAGCCGTCCATGTATTTCTGTCCATCAATCATCCCCATCAGTTTGAACCATGTGTGAAATGCAGTGCATTTACAATAATATTTTTGTATTTTTAAATAACTCTAATATATCTGCCTTGTATCCCTTCAGAAGTCCCAGGAAACATGTTGTGGACACAGACATCCATTTCTACCATGTGCCCTCTCATGCTGATGCCAGTAAAAAGCGTATAACACAGGACACAGAGGACTGGCGTCCTCGCACTGGTACCACCCAGTCCAGGTCCTTCAAAATTCTCGCTCAGATCACCGGCACAGAGAATGGTATGCTAGTGACAAAGTGCATTATTGCTTCAGCCATTGTCCAGTGGTCAAACGGTTAATCATGATCTAACTTTATTTTCAATATGTACTACTTACGTGTATATATATATATATATATATATAGATATATATATATATATATATATACACATATATATATATACATATTTAGAGACAGATCACGTGTCTAGACCATGGGCAAGCTAAGGCTTGAGGGCCGGATGTGGCCCATTTTGCCTCTTAATCCAGCCTGTCAAGCTTGTCCAATTTATGTTCTTAATTTATATTATCATTATATTTCTGCCTTTTATCTGCAATATATGTATTTCTTCAATAAATGGTGTAGAAAAGGCTAAAAACATTTTAGCATTTTAGCCTTTATGTATGACTTTTACGTGTCATTTATCTTAGTTCACATGAATGCTCCATCTCCAAGACCCCCGGGGCAAAAAACTGTGGTCACCCCTAATCTTAAAGTTTGGTGGTTCACTCATTAACTCATCTTGATTTTTGTTCTCACCCTTTAAGCTCAAGATGAGGAAGCTGAGAAAGCCAAGAAGACAAAGTAAGTGCATAGCACCTAAAATTCATTTGATTAACTTTTTTTTCTTCTTTACATTGGGTTTTTGATTTGCATTTCTAACTAACTATGTGAACTGGACACTTCTGTGGCACGGTTCTGAGACTATTGACCTCTGTGTGTTTCTTGTCTAGACAACAAAGACTGACATTTGCTCTTAGACCATAGGCCAGAGCTCTGTGCTCTTTTGAGTACCTCAATTCTTGACAGCTCTGGGAGATCAGAATCCAATTTTTCTCTCAGACTTTAACCTGTCCGAACGATGATGGATGGACTTTTACATGTGGTTTTAAACACTTCCATCCTCTGGCAATGTGCAGCTGTATGTGGTAGAGTTTGTGTCCTGTTTTCCAATTGTTGGTGTGTTTGTTTGTGGTCTTGGCAACATTGCAGTGGTGTGTGTTGCTTAACTTGTTGTGTTGTGGAGTTTATAGCTCAGTTAATGGTCATTTACTGTTCCTTTGTCTTGATGGCATTTGGTGATGTGTATTCACAAAAAGTCTGCAGCATTGCTGGGTTTATAGAGGGATTAGGTGGAGTTTTTAAATAAATAATAATTATATATTACAGTATATCAGAGCTAACAAATGTCCAGTCTGTTTCCAATACTACTGAATGTTTGCTGTGCATCATCAGCCTTGGCTTCTTAACTGACAGCTTTATTCATAAGTCTTTCGGCGTGACTCACAGTGTCTCATCATCCATCGTCGGGCAACTAGTGCACATTTCCTAAATTCTTCTTTCTTTTTCTTGCTTTTGTATTTCTCTCTTTCCTCTTCTCTCGTGACCTGGATGACAGAGTAAGCAAGGCCACCACTCGGCTGGTGATTGGCCCTAAGTACAAGGAGCTGAGGGACTGGCACCACGGAGTGTCTGCTCGCACCCTCAATGTTCAGTAATCCATGATCTGTGTGTGTAATGTCTGTCCACCCATGTATGAGTATGCTATTACCAGTTTTACCGCAGCAGATTATACTGTGGGATTATGAGGGATAACAAGAAAATAAAGTCATACAAGAGCTTGCAGAGGTCGGTGTGTGCATGAGGATGTTTAAGTATGAGTGGTGTGCACATGTGTACTGACGTGTTGCCTATTTGCTTGGCCCACTCCACTGATAGAAATCCCAAAAGTAGAAATCTTCAACACATCCACTTGTGTTTGCTTTGACCCCAGTGCTTTTAGCTCAGGAAAAGAACTGCATGTATATGTTTCATTTTTTGTATACCTGCAGTAGTGTGGTCATTGCATTGTTTAGTTTAATTGCTGAATAATTGGATGCTACAGTGGTGCAGTGGTAGAACGACACCTAATCATAAAAGCACTAAAGCGGTGGTGACCCCCTGATGAAGGGACAAGCTGAAAGTCATTCTTCTTCCTCATTGCAAAATAACTGAAATATTTAATCCAAATTATCTGAGTACATTCACTCAGCTATCGTCTCTGTAACTTTTTTTTTTTTTAAATAGAAGACACTGGTGTTTTGACCTCCTTCTGGTTGTTTTCTCTAAACCAACTAANATAAATAAAAATAAGATAAGTAGATCAGCAGCAGCTACCAAACACCACATTACATTCAAGGTCACTCTATTTATCCTCACTGTTTCCATTATGCTACTGCTTGTGTACTTCAGCAAGTAATCGTGACCACGTCTTTATACTAACATGCTGCCAAGCGTTTAGCTAATCAAATATTTGTCCATCTGAACATGTGCAACTAAAGAAGTGGCCTGTGAGTGTATTTCAGGCAAAATATATAAATAAATAAAAATAAAAAAAGAGCTTTTTATTGATTTACTTCATATACAGTATATGTAATGGGTGGCTTTGAAACGCTGCTTGGATGAAACAGTTCAGACTGGTGCTTTGGACAGTAAGACCTAAATGCAAGTGAGGGCGGTTTCACTGACCGCTAGAATTTTGAGGAAAATAAGCAGGTTTTGAGCTTTGATGGTGTGATTGAGTGTTTAAATACTATTTTACTATGTAAAATATTCATTCAGTGAGTGATGAAGCTAATAAAGTAATTCGGTCTATCTGCTTTCCTTTTTTCTTCTTCCTGTCTCTGCTTTCCTATCTGTCTGTATTTTTTCCCCTATTCATTCTTCTCCATGGTTACATTTTTAACGTACAAAAATATTCAACGTAAAACATTATTTTAAAAGAAGCCATTTACCAGAGACCATGTGTTTCTTCCGTACATACATTTCAATTGTTTTAATCATACCCCCAGTAAACATCTAAACCCAGAAGGGGGCAGCACAAAGTAAGTAAGGAGGTTTCGTGGCAAAACCTAGCTTGTCTGCGTATGGGTACACAAACATTTCGCATTAACCTCGAAACGGCTCTCTATTATCTTTGTAATTTCTGATGATTTTTAAAACATTAAGCTAAAAATATAAAACATTTAAACTGATCGATTGTTTATATGATGTAGGTCCTTCAATTTTGACAAGGGAACTTTTAGTAGCTGTTGTTGTTTTTTGTTTGTTTGGTTTTTTTTTTTTGGTTGCTTTTTTGTTTGTTTGTTTTTTCACTTTTTTTCCCAAATACGCCAAAAACTTCAACTCCAGCCATGGAACTTCCCGAACAGTTGGCAAGAAACAGAGGGGATTCCTTTTTTTAACGCCAAATGCTGATGCTGCCACCTGCTGGCCTAAATATAGATCCAAGCGTAGCTTATGATTTGCTCACATTCACAACTGAATAGTTCAAATGTTTTTTTTTTAAATAGTTCCACTGACGGAAACAAAACAAAGGGGATTGTTTATATAAATAGTAACAAAGGCTGACATTTTACTGCAACTAATATGTCAAAGTCATACAATTATGTACTCTTTGTACTCACAGAGCCCTGCCAAAGCAGCCTTATTGGAACATATTGTACTACAAAAATATTTTTGTAGTCAATAAAAAATGAGAAAACTGCCTTTTCCAGATTTCCTGTCACAGAACCTCAGGATTCCCTAGTGGACCTAAAATGACAAAACTATAGGTCCAGGACAAATCATAATACCTTGCTGAAAGATCAAGACTTCTATTCCCTTAGTGTTTTATTCTTAAACTGTAATGTGAACTCAGCCCTGTGAAATGATCTTTACAATAACGGCACAGACAAAATCCATGTTCAGTCACATGCCAGTTTCAAAATATTTGATCCATGTGTTTGCATTGCATAAAGTACCAACCATGACGTCACAGTGAAGCTACTTGGCAGTATCTCACAAAGATCAGTCATTGACCAGTGAACACAAATGTACACTTTCAACTTTGCTGTATGACAAGTTTGTGTGTGTGTGTGTGTGTGTGTGTGTGTGTGTGTGTGTGAATGCATATAACGTGCAGGGTTTGAATTTCATCCAAAAATATCAAAGCATTAAATGATGGACCATCTGTTATATTTTGTGCAGAGCTGCTGGACATCAGTCAGCTTAGTTAATGGACCGTTGGTTCAATGTTCACACAAAGAAACATAGTCATGAGAAGAGAAGCTCAACCAGAACTCCTTATATTTTTATCATTGCTCAACACAGGAGCGTCACGATTAGGCAGCACTTGGTTCTGAAAAATAGGCTAATAAAAAAAGCAATGGAGACAAATTTAAAAAAAATAAATATATAAATAGCCACAAGGTCAGATACACAGAGACTAAATTAATTTGTATCTGTTGTTGTCCCTTTGTCCTCCTCTAATTATCCCCTCACAGGTGTTCCATATGTACAGATGGTATTTATTATAACAGGCCAGTATTAAAATCTGTGTGTCAGACTCTCCATTAATCAGCCAACCCCAGCCAGGCAGAATACAATTACTCCCTGTATAATTGCTCTGACTGGTGGAGAATATTAACGAGCCTGTCCTTTAATTGACTCTAATGAAGGAAGGACAGGGCAGCATCTTATTTCCTGCCTTCTTTATTACCTCTATTACCTCTAGAAAACTAGCCCAGCTAATGTAAAATGAACGGTGTTCTGCCAGTTTGTGGATGTGGAAGATGATGCTGTAGTCTACAAACTAGTGAGTGTAAAGACACACCAAAGTAAATGTTTTTACATGACTTGTTTATTTATCAAGGATGCAAGTGAGGGTGGTTTCACTGACTGCTAGAATTTTGAGTAAAATAAGCAGGTTTTGAGCTTTGATGGTGTGATTGAGTGTTTAAATACTATTTTACTATGTAAAATATTCATTCAGTGAGTGATGAAGCTAATAAAGTAATTCGGTCTATCTGCTTTCCTTTTTTTTTCTTCCTCTCTTTCCTATCTGTCTGTATTTTTCATTTATTCATTCTTCTCCATGGTTACATTTTTAACGTACAAAAATATTTAACGTAAAACATTATTTTAAAAGAAGCCATTGTTTACAGTTCAATAAAAACAGTTTCTGTATAAATGAAGAAATATAATCAATTAATATCTCTTTTTTTCTCCCAAAGCTTTATCAAAATTAATTAAAAAAACATTGTTATACAAGAGTGAACATGTAATTATATATTGTTATTACTGAAAAGCCTAATGTTTAATAATAACAGAACATTAAAAATAATACTACCACATTATTAAATTAATAAATAACTGCAAATATATTAAAATATATACATTTTATAAAATATAAAATATAAAATATAAAATAACACTGACCTTATGTTTTTGTATCAAGATCCCCCAAGCCTCCCCTCTAAAGTGACATTTCTATCTATATCAATCACAATATGACAGAAGTGCCAATAACTACTGGATTTACATGTATTTGCCATGCAGCAGGTATGGAGTAGATATATAGTTAGGCTACATTTGCTCCATTCATAAACATCAAATGTAATGTAGCAGGCAGCACTGATGAAGAGATAGTAAGACGCACGTGGGTTTGAAGCAACAGGTTGCTGACCCCTGACCTATTAATTGTATATGTATACTGTATATTTAGAATTCTTCAATACACATGAATCCAATATTTTTAATATGTAGCATATTGTTTTGAAATTGTGTGAAACATGACTGAACGTGACATTAGATTTGTAAATGTTATCCGTTGACTGGTACAGTAACAACTAGGTAAAACTAAGAAAAAAACACAAGATATACTGGAAAAAGTTAAATAAAAAACATACTCAAACGCTGTACCAAGGATAACGCATAATTCCACGTTAACATGGTGTTAGTGTGACACTTGGCTGCTGTCTGCACTGGTTTGTTTATATCTCTGGCTATAGATTAGAGAGGTTTGTTCTCACCATATCCACTGAATTCAGCTGTCAGACACATGGTGTCAAAACAAAGAGATGTGAAGACAATAAAGAGAATGATATTGTCTTTTTTAGGTGGGTATTTTAAGACTGAATATGAATCATATCATCATGAACCGTTGGAGGTATTCCATGCACTGTTTGGTGTTTATCATGTGCAACTCATTTCTCATTTCTTATTCATTCAGTTACACGTCTTGGTCAGACTTGATCAAACTGTCTTTTCCTTTTCCTTCTGACTATCCCATTCTTCTTCTCCTGTGAAAAAGAAAAAAAAGGTCTTTTCTCTTTTTGAGTCATACATCTGATCCACATATTCCTTATTTATAATTACTCTGCTACATAACTGTGCGCCGACTCATGAAGTCTTGGCCAATCATCTCAGAGTACGTTTTGGGTGGTACAACAATGTAACCATGCTACTCTATAGGGACCATTTCGTCTTACTGATGCTTAGTTCAAATGTTCAAATTCAAATTGTTTGCTCATGGCAGAACAGCTGAAATATAGGAGGGAAGTCAGCACACACACGCACACACGCTGTACAAACCACCTTCCCTCTCTGTTACATTGAGTTATTTTATTCCTGACAGTCCGATCCTGTCACAGTCTCTTATTCTGTCTTTTTTTCCCCTTTATTTTTGTGCTTCAGGCACAGATCGTTCCGTCCATATTTGCAGTTGCCATAACATTTGTTTCCCTTGAGTCCTGTAACAGTCATGCACATGGGGAAGACAGCAGTGATCCAACTGTTGGCTTCAGCCACAAGTAGACATGATGGATTTAATACATCTGGGGTTAAATTCTTGGCCCACCCAAGGTCCTCAGCTGGCATTTATGGCTGGCCTATGAACACACACATACTTGAAACATTATTATCAAAAATTATCAAAAAACATGTTAAAACTTGATTTCACTCATTTAAAGGTAACTCATTTGCATCACTTGAAAGTGTACAGAGTTTAAAGCCTTGGGGTTGTGTTTGATTGAAATGCAGATAACGGCTCTTCATCTCCAGTCTTGTTTTGGTCTTATAAAAGGAGATTCAAATCTTGTAATTAAATCATAAAACTCCTCCAGTAAATAAAGTAATGAAGTAATTAAGTTATCTTATCAAATGTAATGCATTAATGTTAGTAAGCACTAGGACAAGACAGCATGTTGACCCTCCAAAAATATGTTGCCCTCTTGAAATATGCATTGCTCTAGGGCAAATATGCCTTGCTCTAGGGCAAATGGTTCTCTTTTCCGACATGCCTCCCTTTGGGGACAGAAATGTTTTCACTTCCCCCTCTCCCTCCGACCCACACCTCCACGAATTGAAATAATATTGAGAACCTGATAACATGTATATTCTTTTCTGTACAAACCACTGTATGAGATACTGCCACCTAGTGACTGGACACTTGCTATCATTTAAGCATTAAAGCAGTGTCCATCCCCCCGACACCTAACCGCATGCCGCCCCCCCCCCCCCCCCCCCACCCCCGCCTGCACTCACGCTGCTACTCCCACCATCTGGCGGTGGCTTCTGTGACACACAGCAAGGAGACAGGGGCAATAGTTCTCCACCGTTTTCTGCAGAGGCCCATCTTTTTGTAGGGAGGACAACAGTATTGTCGAGTCACATACAAACATTCACTGCTGTTGCTGGACATATCCAGTGTTATTTTTCATTGAACAATAACATACAAGAACAACTTTACTGCATAATAAGGAATCACTGTTGGGTTTTTTGCTGTTGTGTTTATTCTCTCAAAACAAACGCTACCTCTCCTGATGGCTGTGGCCTTATTTATATGATTAAACATCATCATGATTTTTCCACGTACTGTATTCACCACCACGGGTGCATCAGGAGCTGCAGCACTGCTTTGGCTCTTGCTTGGCTCAGTGTTTAGTTTGGTACCAAGTTTGTCTCGGTCCTGTAAACACAAAGACCGGTCTGGACCGTGTCTCACTGCAGCTGGACGTAATGAGACCGTTCCAGTGTTGTGTCATGTTTTCAGAATGCTCAAGCTTTCAAATTGGCTGCCGGGAGGACATATTTGTAAATATAGATAGTAGTCAGGCCGCTGCTGTTTCAGCCATGTTGTCTTTCAGTTTAAAAGACAGAGACACGAGAAGATTTTTTTTTGCATTTAAAGCATTTTTTATTTGTTTGTTTGTTTTTTCATTAAATTACAGAGTGATTTTCTTATAATCTGTCTTTGCATTATGTCTCTGCTCAGTGAGGGAAGTGAGGAGCCTGAAGTCAACAGCCATACTACTGCATTCAAGACAATGATCAAAGGACCTACTGCAACCCATGGTAATGTTACTTTTCTTTCTGTGAGAGTTCTGTGCCAGAAAATTACCTTTTTTTTTTTTTAAGAAAAGCTTGAGGCAACACTGAATTATTTTCAGGGTAGTTTTAATTAAACAAAGGTTTTTGATCTGCAACAGTTTATATTAGGCAATCACATCTAACTTTATTGTGTGGAGTGTGACGCTCATTTCAATCATTTGAACGTTTCAATGAATGCTATGCATGTGCAGGTTTCTTTTTGTTTCAGGTTTTGCCAAAGCTAATTAATTATTATAAGCATTCAAAGCATCATGTGAATCTTAATGGAAGGTAAAAACATTTCTAACTCTATTATTTGTGTGTGTTTAAAGAAAACACTGAAAAGAAACCTTAATTTTTTAAATTTGCACCAGGTCACATCTTGCTTCTGTACCTCATCTAATGACTGGAATCAAGAAAATAAAAAAATCTGATTACTCACTGAACATCTTTGACAAATCTAAATCTAAGTAATTTTTAACAGCTTTACATTTAAGAGTGGTTAAAAATAATAATAAATAAAGTGTTGAGGATTAAAAAATCAACAAACAGCATAAACATCTGCCTTACACACAGAAAGTCCTACATAATAATATCATAATATAATATACCGTATTTTCCGCACTATAAGGCGCACATAAAACCTTTTATTTTCTCAAAATTCGACAGTGCGCCTTTTAACCCGGTCAGCCTTATGTATTACGTTTGGTTGCGGTTACTGTGCTCGAACCGATTTCATAAAGCCAAACCACACAGTGCATCACACAAGTGATGGGAAGACCGACTCTTTTTATTGATTCGAATCTTTGACTCTCGAACAGTAAAATAAACGAGTCGTGAACGAATCTTGAATTAATCATTTCATTCGTTTTACAGCAGGTAGCGCTTTAGCCCTAAAGTCACGAATCTTTCATATGACTCGGGAGTCACGAGTCATATGATAGATTCGTTCATTTTGAACGAATAACTCGTGAACGACACATCACTACATCACACATGATGGTACACAACTGAAGCACACTGGGAGCCAACAATGACGTTTAACTCTGTTGTCACAATTACAAGATGCCGAACAACAATTGTTACAGTATAGTTGTGTAACTCAAATCCGCGCAACGTCGCGTCGGAGAATCTACGTTGTGTTTTGTATTGTTGATGTATGGTGCGATGTAGGACGACTCAAACGGATGGCTGTCGATTGTTTCGTAGTCAAAAACTCTTTTTTATTTACCCTTTTTATCGATACAGGAAAAACACACTCTCTCTCTGCAAAACAACATCCGCACTCCCGCACAGAACAGCGTCAAAACAACAATACGGTGACCACTCAGAAATAAAATAGTGACAACCGCCAGACTCAACAACAGCGTCCTCCAGTGTCCAACTTAGGTTACTACCCTTTTCCACAAACCTCCGTCCCTATATATCTGCGACTCCATGCCCGCCCATCTCACCGATATTGTCAAAACCCAAGTGAAGCAAACTAATTCGGGGCTTGCCATCATTCTGGGTGAATTGACCAAAGAATTCCAACCGCTAAATATTGGTGTTAACAGGGCGTTCAAAGTTAAATTGCGAGCTTCGTTGAAGCATTGGATGACAGAAGGCGAACACACATTCACCAAGACAGGGATGCAACGCTGGGCGAGCTACGCCGCTATCTGCTAATGGATCATGGATGCCTGGGCTAAGGTATCAGTCTGAAATGTGATCCGAACTTTCACGAAGGCCGGACTCATCACTGAACAACTAATTAACAGCAACAAGACTGACTCGGATATTGACAAGAAGGATCCGGGCATGCTTGATTGTTCCACTGACTGTTTTGTTTCGCTTAATGCGCCTTATAATGCGGCGCGCCTTATAGTCCAAAAAATACGGTACATAATACTAAGTGGATGAGACAACCTCTCAGAGCTATTTGAGAAGCTAGAGAGATTTGTCTTGATTGATTGTCCTGGAACATTTTGACTTAGCATATGTACTGTATATATTACCATGCCATTAAACTGTATGCCGTGACCCCGGATAAAGGTAAAGGTGCCATAGGTGTTTTTTCTTATCCCGGCATTATTAGACCAGAAGCTCTGGTATATCTACCATTAGTTTAGTGTCAGTTTGAGACTGCACTAGTCAACATTATTGATGTAATTTATTTTTCTATTAATTTTATGACCATATAAACACACCATGAGTGTATGAGTATAAGAATGCATGTGTATGAGTGTATCGGTATTGTGTGTGTTCAGTCTACATCTGTTTAAAGCAGAGTTGTCAAACTAATTTTGGCTCAGGGGGCACATATGGCCTAATTAGGTGTCAAATGGGCCGGACCAGTACAATCATAACATAAATACCTATAAATACCAATTAGTCCATGTAGTCCAGCAGTCTCCATGACCACAACCAAAATCACACTGCACCGTACCAACCCCCCGAACCTTCCTGCGGGTGGTGAGTCCACTGGAAGGCGCCAACCGCCCTAACCAGGATTTGATCTTGCCCAGGAGGTGAACCCTGGGGTTCCACACCAATGACAGAAACATAGCCTCTGGGCCAAAGTGCCACATTTATTTAGATATTAGATAAGTTAATCAAGTGAGCCAGATTGAACCCTCTAGTGGGCCGGTTTTGGCATGTTTGACACCCCTGGTTTAAAGGGTTTTTTCGTCGTCATGGTCACAGAGTCACAGAGTGTTGTCTAAAGAAAGGTCTGATTTACAATAATGGTCTGGGGTCATTTTTACACTTTGTATCAAATATTCAATGATCACTGAGTCAAGCTTAAATTAGCCTGTTAGCTATGACATAACCAGTCCTCCAAATCACATCTGTCATGATGATAATAATTTAGAAGCTTCGATAACTAAAAAACTTTGAGATTAATACATCCATCAAATCAACAGCAACATGCAATGCTGAAATGTGAAATAATCACAATTACTGCCAAATCTAACACAGGTGAAGCAGTGTAGCCACACAGGATTTTGTTTTCAGTAACTGCCTGTGTACAATAAGGCTTGAGTTCTTAGAAATGTTTACATATCCAACAGTTAGACTCCCTTTAAATAGAATCCTAAAAATTAATCCCCAAAATAATTGAGTTTAAACTTATTTTAACTGTGTTTTTTGATTAAATATGATATGCCCCTATAGTTTAAGGTGTTATTTTATGCCTCACACAAAAATGTTTAGTTATAAATCCTGACATAATGTTAAAGTGATTTATAGCAGCTGGAGGGAATGTTGTTGCAGCCTTTTAGTGAAGGAAAAGAGGCTTAGTTTCCATGGTCGAGGCATGACATAGGTGAAGTAGGTCACTGCAGACTTTCTTTACTGTCGCTAGGTTTAGCTTTAAGTTCATCCATCCATCCAACCATCATCAACCGCTTATCCAGGGCCGGGTCGCGGGGGCAACAATCTCAGCAGGGACACCCAGACTTCCCTCTCCCTCGACACTTCCTCTAGCTCTTCTGGGGGGACCCCAAGGCGCTCCCAGCCCAGCCCAGCAACGTAGTTGCTCCAGCGTGTCTTAGGTCTTCCCCTAGGTCTCCTCCCAGAGGGACGGCACCCGAGCACCTCCAAAAGGAGGCATCCGGGGGGCATGCGATGTAAATGCCCAAGCCACCTCAGCTGACTCCTCTCGATGTGGAAGAGCAGCAGCTCTACTTCGAGCTCCTCGTGTGACAGAGCTCCTCACCCTATCTCTAAGGGAGCGCTCTGCCACCCTGCGGAGAAAGCTCATTTCAGCCGCTTGTATCCGGGATCTTGTTCTTTAGGTCATGACCCAGAGCTCATGACCATAGGTGAGGGTAGGAACGTAGATTGACCGGTAAATTGAGAGCTTCGCTGACCCACAACTCATGACCATAGGTGAGGGTAGGAACGTAGATCGACCGGTAAATTGAGAGCTTTGCCTTTCGGCTCAGCTCCTTCTTCACCACAACGGACCGATAAAGCGACCGCATTACTGCGGCCGCCGCACCGATCCGCCTGTCAACCACCTGTCAATCTCTACCCTCACTCGTGAACAAGACCCCAAGATACTTAAACTCCTCCACCTGAGGCAGGACTTCCTCCCCAACCCGGAGGGTGCAAACCACCTTTTTCCAGTCGAGAACCATGGCCTCGGACTTAGAGGTGCTAATTCTGATCCCAGCGGCTTTACACTCGACTGAAAACCGCCCCAGTGCATGCTGCAGGTCCTGGTTCGAAGAAGCCAACAAGACCACACCATCCGCAAAAAGCAGAGATGAAATCCAGTGGCTCCCGAATTGGACCCCACCCGACACCTGGCTGCGCCTAGAAATTCTGTCCATAAAAATAATGAACAGAACCGGTGAACAGAACCAGCCCTGCCGTAGTCTAACATACACCGGGAACAGGTCCGACTTACTGCCGGCAATGCCAACCAAGCTCCTACTCCGATCGTACAGGGACCGGACAGCTCTTAGAAGAGGGGCCCCAACCCTATACTCTCGGAGCATCCCCCACAGAATACCACGAGGGACACGGTCGAAAGCCTTTTCCAAGTCCACAAAACTCCCATGAACCCTCAAGCACCCTGTGGAGGGTATAGAGCTGGTCCAGTGTTCCACGACCAGGACGAAAGCCACATTGTTCCTCTTGAATCCGAGGTTTCCAGCCGGATTCTCCTCTCCAGTACCCTGGAATAGACTTTTTCCGGGAGGCTGAGGAGTGTGATCCCCCGATAGTTGGAACACACCCTCCGGTCCCCTTTTTTGAAAGGAGACACCACCACCCCGGTCTGCCAGTCCAGAGGTACTGTCCCAGACTGCCACGTGATGCTGCAGAGACGTGCCAACCAAGACAGACCCACAACATCCAGAGACTTGAGGTACCCCGGGGCGGATCTCATCCACCCCCAGCGCCTTTCCACCGAGCAGCTTTTTGACTGCCTCGGTGACCTCAGCGTAGGAGATGGGAGGATCAGCTGCTGAGTCCTCAGCATCAGCTTCTGTCACGGAAGGCGTGTCAGCGGGATTAAGGAGATCCTTAAAATATTCCTTCCACCTCCCGACGACATCCTCAGTCGAGGTCAACAGCTCCCACCCTCCCCCTTCCCCCCCTGCTGTAAACCCCTGTAAACAGCAGTGGTAGGAAACTGAGGAAACCCCTTCCTGAGGCGCCGGATGGTTTGCCAGAATTTCTTCAAGGCCGACCGGTAGTCCTCCTACATAGCCTCCCCGAACTTTTCCCAGACCCGAGTTTTTGCATTTCTGCGGGTGGTGGGCCGACTGAAAAGCGGGCTCACAACGCTTGTTCGGGCTGAGCCCGGCCGGGTGCCGTGAGCAAGGACCTGGCCACCAGGCACTCGCCTGCGAGCCCCAACCCCGGGTCTGGCTCCAGGGTGGGGCCCCGGTGATGTCAATCCGGGCGACGTGAACCTCTTTGATTTAATTATTTTCTTCATCAAGAAAACCGCTATTTGTCTGATCTGTTGCCTAGGGCCTGTTTGCCTTGGGAGACATAGCTCCTAGGTTCATTCGGATACTCAAACCCTCCACCAGGTTAAGGTTGTGGTTCAAGCAGGGGTAGCTTTAAGTTTGTCCGTGTAATGTCTTCTTTCCTAACATTCCTGGACTGTGTTGCACACGTCGATTACTCAATTTTGCTAAGATTAATAAATACATTTAAAGAAAACAACTGAAATTTTTTTTTACATAAAAAGCTATTAGAATTTTTTTTTTTTTAATTTCTCCTGCTAAGTAGATTTTCCCACACAACAAATAACACATTCCCATACACCATCTGAAGATTGCAGGCTACACAGTGCAGTTTGACCAGGTTTCAGGGATTAAGGTTGGTGGTCTGTGTGTGTGTGTGTGTGTGTGTGTGTGTAGATGTTTGGTCATATGTATGCATGTGTGTGCTCCGGAGGAATGTGACCAGGAATGCGTTGTTTAAGATTGATGCAAGGGGCAGAGGTTTAGAACAAATCTTTCAAATTTTCACCTCAACATACTGCAGGTTATGGTCCACAAACTGGCCTTATCATCCCATCCTTTGCAATGAAGGGTAAAGGCAGTGACCATGTCCCCATGGGCCCCGTCCCAGCTAGGCCTATTCCTCAGCCTCACCCTAAAGATCAAGACACCCTGGTTCAGAGGGCGGAACACATGCCTGCTGGGACTAGAACACCTATGTGTGCTCACTGCAACATGGTCATCAGGTTAGCAGATTCCTAAGGATAAAATATGAAGCTGATTTCTTTGTAGCATTAATCTGTGTTATTTCTTACTCCAGAGGACCATTTTTAGTAGCGATGGGTAAATCCTGGCATAAGGAGGAGTTTAACTGTACCCACTGCCACTCATCACTGGCAGACATTGGCTTTGTGGAAGAAAATGGCTATGTGTACTGTGAACATTGCTATGAAGAGTTCTTCGCACCGATGTGCAGCCGCTGCCAGACCAAGATTATGGGGGTGAGTGTGTATAAGTGAAGATGTTAAGGGTTATTATTGACATTGCAAATGTCAAAATGTAATTTCACTGCCCCGTCTTGATGATAGTCATTTTATTGAATCATGAATATACGTCACATCAGTAAAAGATGGATAAAGTAAATCAGAGAAAATTTTATTGATTGATTGTGTCTCAAAACTGCTGCGTATTATACATCACTTTATATGCAGCCTGCTTTAACACTGTGCATTGTTGTCATGTCTTCTAATGTGGTTGATTATGTTACCAAAGTGGGCCAGATAATAGCATTTATACCAACTGTGTTTAACTCAAAGCAAAGTATTTTTTGCTCAGCATAGACCCTCTCTGTGTGACGTTCCCTACTCTTCTTCCCAAAGGCTGCTTATTTTTCTGTAGAAATTACTTCTATTTTCTCTAAATTCAGACATATGTGGACACAAAAAAGACTAGATTCGATACAAATAAAATTTGTTTTATTCGTTTTTTTAAAAATCATGCATTTTGGGACCGTATTTCTGGGCTATTAATGTTAGGTAAAAATGGGTTCTTCAAATAATGGCTTGTGACTGAAGATTAATTTTCAGTATTGTCTCACTTATAGTTCACACATGAACAGCAGCCAAGTTCACCAGGACATGTACCAGATGAAGACTGAAGTCCAACATAAATGGTTTTAGTCAAACATTTAACATGATTTAATTGCGTGAAAAATAAACATTATCTTTTGATAGTATTTCTTCAATCAGGGAACACAGATAATGTCTAACACGAGATGAACATCCTAAAAAAAACAGTTTAAAGTCATCAGAACAGCTATCTGTTATTACATTAAGATTTGACACTCTTGTGTTATTTTCCTTGTGTTATTTTCTTGTGAACAGTACATTGATTATTGGACCAGATGTTCCAATCTCAAATGGAAACTTGGCAATGGGACCACAACCTAGTTATGAAGTTCTACTGCACCATATCTCCTGTCTTGCTGCTGACCGTGTTGTCAGCCATTTTTAATTCAGCGTAACGCCTGCAGATTCCACCTCGCTGTGTGCGTGTGTGAGATCCTAAAGCTTCCAGTTTTTAGCACACAGGGAAACAAGTCTTCAAACTTCGAGTGTTGTAGTGACTTACACAACCATATCACACTCACTGATGACGTCACAATCATGTTTTTTTAGCAAACATAAAGCTGAGGAGGATAACCCAAAATATTAGCTGGCATGCTTAATATGTATTTTATTTTAGTCAAGAGCCTGTGGGATGTAGTGCTGGACTCTAACCAGTCCAGTGAAATATAAATTAAAGCATGAGTGCAGAACCTGCTGCAGAATTAGGGAGGTTCTATGGGAAGGAAGGCAGTAAATGTGTAGGTGTAGGGCAAAAAGGCTTAGAGGCCCAGTGGCTGCAGGTGTAGCATGAAGCCAGGGTGTTAGGAAGCTGGAATTTCTGCTCTTACAGAACTTCTGACATTTGTTCCTCACATGTTCCAATCTCTTTAGCCTTGATCCCTTTCAACCCCTTATTTCTCACACATCTTCAACTGGCTTAGAGCTTCTTATTAACATGTTTTCTCACTCCCACTCTACTAATCCTTCGTTTTTACTCTGACCTGCTAACTTTTCGCTGTGTCATTGCTGTCCTGTTCTCACAGATTGGGTGGGAAGGGCAGGGTCTCCATATTAAGCTGTTTCATGCAGCCCCACATGAAAATGTAGTATGTAAAAGGTCTGTTTAATCCTAATGATAAAAAGGAACTGTGTTTCAATAGATGCTGCTTAACAATTTAACCTGTGTTTTTATGTTTGTTTTTTTGCCCTCAGGAGGTGATAAACGCACTCAAACAAACATGGCATGTGCACTGCTTCCTGTGTGCTTCCTGTCAGCAGCCAATCAGAAACAACACTTTTCATCTGGAGGATGGAGAGCCATACTGTGAGCAAGGTGACTGGTGCTGAATTCACACCCTTAGCTGATAAGCAGCACATGACTTTAAGATTGCAGCATTTAAAGCAGTTTAAATACAGAAGACTTGACCGTGTCCTCTTGGTAAAAACATAAATAGTACTACATTAATACAAGAAAAAGCTCACAGGTGTGTCCAAAATCTGGTTCAGGGAACATTATTTGGCCAACAACTATCTTAAATCAACTATTTATTGGCCAACTAGCATATATTTTTTGCAGAAATTCTATAAAGAATCATTGAGGAGCAACTTCATCAGATATTTTTTGTGTTGGATAGACAATTCTAGGAGAACAAGAAAACTATCTGTGGGTAAAAATTTTTAATCTAATTTTACAATAAAAATTATCAACTTTTCATACTTTTCATACATAACTTTTTTATTTTATGTAGTTATAGTATTATCAGTAATTATATTAGTTATATTGTTGTTGACATAATAAAACAACATTTTGTTTATTTTATTTGTCTTCCCTCTTGTGCTGTCTCAAGAAACCTCACATATTCCTGGATTTGTCAGTATGATAATGGGAATATGGTTGTTAATAAAGATGTATAACATCAATTCATCTTTGTTTTGGAGCATAGGATTAGTTTTCTTTTGGCTAATTGTTACTATATTCTATGGGAAAACATTTGGTGATGTCTCTTATCATTAACAATCGGTTGTTAAACCTGGAAGCAAACTCAAGGTCCAGGGGCCAAATGCGGCCCGCCAAGCCATTTTGTGTGGCCCGCTTAAAAAGCATTTAGTAAAGTCCATGCAGCAGAGTTTCTTAAGTAATTAAAGGTTTTTATAATCAATCAAATAATAATGAATTGCAGAAATATGTATTAGTCTGTTATGGAGTAGTTACATTTATACCAGGGGTCCCCAACTTTTTTTGTTCCAAGGACTGGTAACTAGTACCACCCATCACTACAGACCGGTAGCAAGGTACTGAGCATTAAATTTTCAAAATAATACATCTTTTAGACTCTATTCTGTTTGTATGAGTCTGAATGACTTATTATTTTAAAATTAGATTATCTTTTGCCAGATTATCTTTAAATAAAGATAGTAAATGGATATGACTGGACTTTTTTTAATGAAGTAAATTAGTAAAAATTAAGTACATTTTTTTCATTGTGTCCCACTGTGGACAGGTACCAAATGACCTAAGTACTGGTACTGGTCCGCGGACTGGGGGTTGGGCACCCCTGATCTATACAGTCTTCCAGTTGCTTCAAGAGGAACTATATTATTGATGTGGCCACTGGTGAAAATGAGTTTGACACCCCTGCCTTAAAGCAATTCTTTTTTTTACCATGTCATGTCTGAGGAAAAGCTCATATTGCCATTTATTGTCATAGGTGTTGTGTATTTAAGATATATAACATGTTCTCCTGTTGGCTGAAGACTTCTACAGTTTGTTTGGGACTGGCTGTCATGGCTGTGAGTTTCCCATTGAAGCTGGAGACAGATTCATGGAGGCCCTTGGTCACACCTGGCATGACACCTGCTTTGTTTGTGCTGTAAGTGTCAAGTATTTTCATTCTACTCTCAGTCATCAATCTCTTTTGTCTCAAGATATTCTTTGAATTTATTTTTCTTAAATGCTGATATGCTGATTTGTCTGTCTCTGTCTTCCTAGGTGTGCTGTACTACACTGGAAGGACAGACGTTCTTTTCAAAGAAGAACAAACCTCTGTGCAAAAAGCATGCTCACACATTCAAGATATGAATTTTTGATAGAAGTCCTAAGGATGTAGAAGTCCTAATAATACTATGCTATCGTTTAAGCAATATTCACTTTTGTACAATTCCCACAGCTGGGGAGCAAATTCAGTCATATTTAGGAGCTTTCTTCATAAAATAAAATATAAAACATACTTTAGTAAAATCCTGCCAAAATGTAGAGTAGGTTTACTGCACTGGTATTCATCACAGCTGGTATTTTATTAGTTTTGAAAACATTTCTAACCTTATTTTGATGAGCACATATATTGTTTTATCCTGGTAAGTTACACCTTACTCCCACTCATTGCACTTACAATGTGTGATATTTATTCATCATTCTTACTTAACAAATAAGATTAAAGTAAACTATATCAAATTTTTGGAGCTTCATTTATTGTCATTATGTTGTTTTTGCACAGAAACAACTTTACAGATAGATCAGAAGCTATTAAGAGCCCAACACCAGTTCCATATCCAAAGGCCACATGACTGCTGATCATAAATGGTATATTTGATTAAAAAAAGTTATATTTTCATTGTTTTTATTTCTGTTTTTTTTATAAATACTGAGTTGTGAAAGTGCCTGGATTTAAGGTTAGGTTTTTATTTTCCATGTTTAGGTTGCATTTATTAGTAGATCATATAAATAGTAATAATAGTAAAGTAGTTTCTTTGTGTTTTAAGATCTAACTTCTATCATTCGTCTATCATAATAATCATAATTCTATCATAATATATGCATTTTGTTATGGTTTAATTTAATAAGCAGTCTGCTTTTGAAACATAGCATATGTTTAGAAAACCTTTTGTTTTCTCATTTCACGCAATACCAAATGCTAATGCTAATACTATTACGAAACTACAGCACTTAATGTCAGGTTTGTACAATTTACAGTGTTAATAACATATTTGGAAATAATAAAAACCTTAGCTTGGTTTGTTACTTGAATGATGTGCTATGTAGTCTGTAACAAGTGTTAACTTCTTCAATTCTTTTTTCTTTTTTAATAATAAAAAACTAGCTGCTATCCTAGTTCGACAGGAACACTGCTTAGGCATATCCCTGCTTTACTAAAGTCATTTGGAGCTGGAGCCAATCACAGCAGTCATTTGACTTACCATCGTGATGAACCATCATTTACACTCACGTTTATATCTATGTTAATTTTGAGTGAACAACTTACTCCTGCATGTTTTTTGGACTTGGAGAAAGCCTGGAGTTGTATTTTGCTAGCAGCACACAATACTTTGTTACGCTTCAACATGTTTACATTCTATTGTTGTACTAAAACTTGATTCATTTCCCATTTATATTCCATTGTAGTTTTTTGTTCTAGTCTACTTAATTTACTACTGATACCAAGTTCCTTCCAGCTAAATTTTACGCAGCAAAAACCTGTTTATGAGAGAGAAAGAGAGAAAGAGAGAGAGAGAGAGAGAGAGAGAGAGAGAGAGAGAGTAAACCTCCGCAGCTATATGGACAGCATTTTCTCGCATCAGGAGTAACGACTGTTAAAACTTTGCCTCTTCACGTCAGCTTCTTTAAGCGAAACAGTGCAGCTAGGTGAGTCATTTTGAATCAGAACAAAAACTCCAAGTACTTGTTTTTACTTCACATTCTTTTTTTTTTTTTTTTGCATTTTCTTTAAAAGCCTCGTTGAAGCTAACTCCAGCTGGATGTTCGGTTTGTTGATCTTTTACAGCGTGCTACACGTGCAACGTAAACATTAGCTGAGCGTAAAGAAATAAATAACGTAAGAAAGAAATTACGTAAAAGACGCTTACGGTCGTAACATTTTGATTGGTTTATTATAATAGTTATATATTTTTAAGCAGAGCAAACAACGCCCAGAGCCGTATAATGTAACTGAAACTTAACCACCCTCACTATAGCATAGGTTTACGAATATATTTTCTTAATTTTGTATTTAAGGTCAACTACAGAACTTTTGTACGATTTTTAAAAAAAGGTTAATAAACACTATTCCGTTGAAAACGTTTAACATATAAATAGAACCTATAAACATTCATGAAAAATATTACATTTGTGAGTGCTACAACTAACAATTATTCGCATTGGTAATTAACTTGATGTTGACATTCAAAAATGTAATATTTATTAAAAAATATCCATCACATTTATTTACAGAAATATTATTATGAAGAAACAAGTCAAGTAATGATTCGATCAATTTTGCATTCATTTGATCTTTCCTTCTCCCTTGCTTCATTGTTTATGCTTATATATGGACTTTTCTCAATATCAAATTTGAAAGAAAAATATTTAATGCCACTTTGATTGTACACAACTTTTTCTATTAGTGATGTTAAGTGTTTTGCTTTTTGGTCTAAATTTAAAAAAGGCAAACTTCATAATGACTTAATGTTTGTTTTTAGATACATGTACATATTTTTGTTTCAGTGATCTACCTTAATGTATTGGGAGTTTGGTAAGTAAGTGAGCCTCTTTCTTTAATGGCTTACAAGTAGGAACAAAATGTAAATGAAGCACAACACAGCCTCCAGCGCTGCATAACCTATAGCCCAGTATTCTCTATACACCTCTCTTAAATAAAGACACACACACAGGCATGCACATGGCATTCACCTTTCACTTCTAGTCCAGTAACCAGCTCCAGGTGTTTGTTAGTCTGGGTTATGACAAGGGTATATCCATGTGTATGTGTGCACATGAGCGTGTGTGAATGTACAGTGCTGTGAAAAAGTATTTGCCCCCTTCCTGATGTCTGTGTTTTTTGCATATTTATCACACACAAAGGTTTCAGATCATCAAACCAAGTTTAGTATGACACAGAGACAACCCAAGGAAATAGAAAATGCAGTTTCTAAATGATGATTTTATTTACCAAGGGAGAAAAAATTACAAACTTGGGTTGTCTCTGTGTCATACTAAACTTGGTTTGATGATCTGAAACCTTTGTGTGTGATAAATATGCAAAAAACACAGAAATCAGGAAGGAGGCAAATACTTTTTCACGGCACTGTATATCCAGATGGCATAATACTGTGGCTCCAAATCTTACCTCACCTCATCATAGGAGTCTGGGGGAAGTCACTCCAGGGGATTGTGCATAAAACACTCAGCAAATAAGAATGAGGGGAGCTCCAGATGTGTGTGTGTGATATTTTCCTTGTCTGTCAATCTAACTAAGTGCACACAGTTGTGGGGGCTTCAGTGGGAACATTTATATCAGGAACGCATCACTCAAATCTCAGCAACAGCCACATTCGCAATTGGCTATGTAATTGAGTTTAACATAGCAGTTGGAAACAGGACATCTCCTTCATCTTCTTTAATGTGTGTGTGTGTATGCATGTGGGACAGATCAGCTGAGACACCTAACATTTTTATACCTCGTGATTTGTGACGAGGTGTCCGATTCTTAATGCTAGGTCACATTGGATGGCTGTAGCTTGAGCTGCCTGCCATGAAATGCAGTTAGGAATGCAGTGATGACATTTTTAAATGTATAGGTAAAGGTGCAGTTTACCAGATACAGTAGAGGCGCATCTTACCAGTTATAGGTTCCAGTAAGAATTTTGCTGTAGTTTTGTAACCCTAGAAAGAAATTGATAGATGCTAATTGTTTTCTACAAAAGGAAAAAAAAAATAAAGTAATGATTATTAATATCAATTCGATATTTAAGAATCAAATACAGACGGCACTGTATTATTGCAAAACGTTGTTGCAGTGTGGAGAACCACTTGAGTATGTAATTGTGGAAGCTATGTGGGGACGAATGCTATTTTGTTAAAATTAAAATTTCTTTAATTTAAAATGCATTTAGGTCTGCACATTTTCTGTGCAGATCATCCCCAAAACAATGTGCATTGATATTTCAATGTACATTGTTTTGGAGATGATCTGCATAGAAAAACCATAAACAATTGCAGTTACTTTGTGCAAACCTAAAGTCTAAAAGTCTGATTCCCCACCACACCTTATTGTATTACATTTATAGGCAAAACAAAGGACAAAAATATATTAATTCTTGGTGCTGTTCTTCGGCAGTTAGGTAGTGGTTTAAACAGAGATATCGTTGTCACCTGATATAAACCACATGGCACTAAAGTGACTTGTTTTACTGTAAGTGTGGACGAAACTAAGACAGTCCGGATTACTCCAGATAAGTGTAAAGCTTGTCTAATGTCACCTTTCCATGATACCATCACCACACAGAAAACATCTTTTAGCCTGGGGCTGTCTTCTTAAAAATTAGTTCTTCCAATTATTGTGTCAGTGTGATTGACTGTGTGCTTTTTTTTAAACCAAAGCAGATGTACAAGGCAAATGTCTTTAATAATATATAATATCCATCCATCCATCCATCCATCCATTTTCATTCGCTTATCCGTTACCGGGTCACGGGGGCAGCAGTCGCCACCCAAATCACATTGCACCGTACCAACCCCCCCAAACCTTCCTGCGGGTGGTGAGTCCACTGGAAGATAATATAATAATAATAATAATAATAATAATATAAGTATTTGCTCTCTTATCTCTGAAACTTTCTTTGGTCTTGGCATTGACATATAAGGGACAGTCAATGATGGGAATAAAAGATAAATGAAAGGTCTATTTGCTGGATTGTAACTGTGTAAGATGTTTCTCTGGAGGAAACATGTTGAGTTGTTCACATGCTTTCCTTAAGTTGTATTTTTCCATTTTGATTTCTGCTGACAGGGAAGAAATCAGTGTTTGGTAAAGTTTGTTTTAGCAGATTAACACAAAACCTTTACTCTATTGATTAACGCCTAAAGTCGTTGCCATGTTTAAGTGATGGTTGGCATTCTCAGCATTGTTGTTAATCCCATCATAAACACAAGGCAGTTAAAAAAAACACTGCATAAGCACGAATGTGAGCATGATCTTTTATTCACACACATGGATCCTATAAGGTCTATTGTTGGGATGAGTTTAAAAAGTTCGACTTGACACTTTAGATGGATGTTGATCTATTGTCTGTTCTGCTGTTACATGTCTAAAACAAGTGTGCACCGACAGATTTCCTTGCAGATTACTTGCTTTACAATTCTTCCACAATCAAATTTTTCCATAGTATTATATGTATGAAATTATTCACAATTTTACATGGAGAATGTAATCAAAGGTGTTCCTTTGCAAAAAACGTAGTCTTTGTTTTTTTTTAAACAATTTGCTCCCTATCTCATGATGAAATCATTCTCTTTCCGTGCTCTGTAATTCTCAAAGGGCACATTATTTGCACTCTTACCCAACTCTCTATTTTTTTTCCTTTGAATGATGTGGCATCAGCACCTTCTCAGTACAGTTCTTGAAATGTTCCAGCCGTCCATGTACAGAAGAGAGAGTCAGGATTGAGGGATATTTCCCATAAATCTTGACACTACTGTGACTAATGCAAAGCCATAATGTTGAAAAGTTAGATGGTATTAACCTTGTCATCATTGACTACGGCTGCTCGTGTTGGATTTGGCTCATTCCTTACCGAAGCAATCATCATTACTTCCCTCATGCTCATGCTATTCTGATAAGTAAGGCAAGCTCAGCTAGCTTTAGGAAAATATGAAAAGAGAAGTTAAGGGACAACAATGTCGCAATGTTACATTTAGATTACTGAGAAAAGCATTAGATTTTAGGCTGTGGGGACTGGTAGTTTCATCTTGTCAGTGTGTACTACTGTCGCCAAACTAGTTTTGAGGTTAAAATGTGTCTTGTAAAAAGATTAGTGTCTTCTGAACGTCTCATGTCACATATACTTTTTTGTCTTTTGGTTATTCCTTGTCAAATGGATGGATTAAGTCCTGCTTATCAGTTTTTATCATCCTGTCTCTTTCCTGGTCTCTGCCTTTATATCTTTCTAAAAGCCATTCAGTGCTCTGCACAGACAAGTAGACATTGGACTGCTGAAAATGCACTGGTTTGTGTAACATCATCAATATTTCCCTGACAGAAATTACATCCACATTGCCTGTGCAGACACCACCTTTTCATGGGAGATAAATTCATGACAGGCTTGTCAATGTGTTTTCCAAAGTCATTATTCTGGCATAATTAAATCAGATTGGTACAGAATTTAATTTCCATCCTAAGATACCAAATCTGGTGCATGCAAAATCAAATCTCAAGGGAGGCTGTTTCTCCACTTGCATGTCCATTGGATTTATATATAAATATCCTTTTCTTAGTGAACTTAAAATATAAAAGCTGTTAATGCTGGGTGGAGTGCAACCGTGTAATGGTATAGAATTAGCATATTTATGGAGTTAGGGCATATTAATTGACCAGTTGACATCTTGTAGGAAAATGTTTACACACACATCAAGTTTTTTTTATATAAAGCAAACAGAATATTTTAGTTTGAATGAAAACCAGAAACAGGGACTAGATGGAGACAATGTGAGGTTGAGGCGCTGTAAAAGGAAGTTCCAGTGTTATTTTATGCCAGACACTAGAGCAGTGTTGCTGATTTAATATGGTAATTACAAAGGACTGACCAGATGCCTGATGTCATATCAGTTGTACCAGATAAATGACGCAATGACAAATGTATGATTATTAA